CCTCCTTCATCACACCGCCTGTCGGCTTCTGGACCGAGATGCTTCAGCTCATCGGACTGAAGCGCAACGTCCCCGTGGACAAGCGTGCTGTTTGAATTGCTTTCAGCGACTCAGCGAAACCTGTATAGCAGAGATGTTCTGCCATGATCTAACGTCATTGGATAGATTTTCTATCGCCAGAAGCCTATGAGCACTGGCTGCGCTTTAACATAAATCAATACCCATTCATTCTGCGAATTTCGAGCAACAGCGACTTGCGAATGATGACCGACCTCCGCTATACCCATGCGACAAACAGCGAGGCGGAGAAAGATACCCAAGCGACAACATGCATTGAGCTTCGACTGTGATGTCTTCATTGTGGCATCCGCTGCAATAGCCTAAGCGACACTGCTAGGACGACTATCCAATGCGACACATCCGTACGAGGCCTCCCACGCGACACTACTATTATTGGCAACGCTGCGGTACGTCTGTTGTCACGCGCAGGCTTACCTAGCATCATACGGTCCGAGGCGATAGTTGCTTTGTCTCACTAAGGCACGGTCGCAATTACCTCTCAACGTCGATCGACATTTCGCCTGCGTGTATTGAGTAGAGCAAGATATCTGCAGCTTCCACTCCATCTACCTGGCCTCCGAAGAGTCTCCCGAATTTACATGCGTGCATCGAACAAACATATTAAAGCGCTTGGCAATGCTTTCCGAAAGTTTCTCCGCTATTGTTGCGATGCGCGCCAGCCCACCATATCTGCCTCGATGCGCCTCGCGTCAGCCCCCGCGTACGCCACTATCAACCCGTATCAGTTCACCAACACCCACGCACGCAGTCGCCTGCATCAAAGGTTGGTCAATGTTCACAGGCTGAATCTGAGGCCTTGAGACCCAGGAACTCGGTCGTGAGGTGGGCCTAATGTCTTACATGTCTTATCGCCAGGCTTTCGGCGCAGCTACAGACATCCTTGACAACAGACCGCGGGAAAACTTGGGTTCTCGAGGCAGACAGCCGCCGATTCGCTCGGATCATAGATCCTATGCGCATCTACGTGACCGTGCCTCGAACGCTGCAACACCATTGAGCTTATCTCGGACCTTCGACTAAGGGAAGACGACACCTCAGGCCATCTCCAGCCATGTTCGCGTCGGTGCGCGATATATAACATCGCTCTTTACATCCCAAAACGTTCAACTGATCCCGTCGCCAGCATCCCGGTACCTCTGGTGGCGCACCGCGATCCCGCCTACACCACGCCTCCGGGTTGACGCATTGGAGCCTCCCACTGCCGCGAACACACTATTCATGCTGGTTCACGTCGTTTTGGCTCGATGTCCGTACCTTGCAGGACCTTCTCCGCAATTGATAACGTGTGGATTGTCTAACCGGGATTGCCAGACGGCTCCATCTTTCCCCGCATTGTTCACATCGTGGACCGATCATGTTATTGGATTTACGGAAAATGGATGGCTGAAGACCAAGCTTCATCTAAGACTGCGGAACCGCGATACAGCTCTTGGATGCTCTATCTCTTGGTATCAACGTGGGATACTGGATCACATCGCAGAAAGAGGTAATGTGGAGCAGTTGTCGCGTACTGACCATCGCAGCAGATAGACTGAACAACGCGGTCCTTCCCCGTCGGAAAACACATTCCTGGTGAAAGCGCAACACCCAGACATGCTTCCTTGGCGGAGAAACGCCCAGTGTGGAATTGACACATGTGATCATCGCTAGACATGCGCTATCTATCATTACCCCCGAGACCGTGGTACGGTACACGTTTCTGACGTTGCGCTGTCGCGAGCCAGACGCCCGTCATGTGGAAGGGTACCACTGGAATCTTACGGTACGCTACCGCGGTTCGTATGCGGTACGCTTGCGGCTCGAGATATCTCCGTGGGCGATCTGACGTAGGATGGTTTGTCTAGATCCACCGGTGCTGTCATCCTCCAGTTGAAGATGGGTGGACAGTAGTAGTAGTGTACCTGTGAGTATAGCGGCCCTGAGATTTTTGACCCGGCGTAGAATGCGCAGCATGCCAGACTGTGTAACTCGGGCTGAACCAAATGCTTGTCTATAGATCGATAGCTCGTTCGGTCTCGCCCTGTAGCATTGATGAAGCCATGTGCGATCAAGTCCGCAGAAATCCTGTAGACAGTCTTCATTAATTCTGGGATGGATGATCAGATTATCGTCAAGATTACTTCCGTAGACCGCATAAGAATCAGACATCTAGCTTGATAACAATGATTCTACCAATCCGATATGTACCATGTTACGCCTTCTCAAGAAGCACATGTTTTTGTCTACTCGCAAGCTATCCCACCCTCTCGCTTGACATTCCGTGCGTTGCCAGTTTCGTAGCCATGGCCCTAACAATTGATATCTCCCAGCCTCGTCAGAAAAACACATGTATAGCACTGCTATCTCTCCGAGTGCTATTGCCTGCATACCACAACACTATCCCCATTTCCTCAGCCTCACCACGTGCAACCAACCGCGCTAATACCCCATCCGGCCCGTCAACCCACTCGGCCCTTCAACCAACTTCGCCCCTCGAAAATCGGGCCGAATACCTCCACGCACACCAACTTCGCTTGCTTCCACGTGCGCTCTGGCCAAGAACATTGGCTGGATGCCCAACGAAGCCACGACCTTTCCCACTCGTCGCAATACCTTGTGCGACGTAAACAATAAGGCCGAGTCTGGGGTAGATGAACGGGACAAGAAAGTCGTCTTCGACATGACATCATGCGGAGAGAAATGTCGTAGGGTACGGGTGAGGAGAATGCTGCTGCGGCGTGGCGTGGGACCGGAGTTGGGCCGAAGTATATCCTGGGGTACGTACTCGTAAGACGAACCACCGGGTGTTGAGGTGTTTATCTTTCACCGCGGGCGGTGGATTGGGTGTGAAACTCCGGGGTGCTCGTTGCAGTATGGTGTTGACGTCCGGGCTTCGATATGTCCGCCGCTGGTGTTTTCTGGAAGTCGCATGCCATATCTGCACCTTCCTTCCGTACTAGCCAATCACACTATAATGTCTTACTTCGACATACCCTCCCTCATCGAAACCCATACAACTGCCCTATAGCTTCCTGCATATCCACAGTATTTAGCGTAATCCGCGGTCTAGGATCCTTGATGCGCGTGAAGATTTCGAAAACGAAGTGCGAACCCAGTGTAAGGAGTAGACAAGGTATGACGAGGCGGCTGAGTATACGACCCCACGATATCCGTTCTTCTTGCGCCCTCTTCTCTTTCAGGTACTCCTTTTCATCTGTGGTACTGGTTGTTTCCAAAGGTATCGATGTCGCTTCTAGAATGGTTCTGTAACTCAGCCGACCGAGCCAGATGTGCCATCCTAGAAGCATAGTCGCAGCGGCGGCGATGCTCACCCATGAGGTTGTCGCATAGGTTGATTGCGCTCTTCGTCCTAGTAGTTCGTATATCTCGTCTAGGCCCTGTACCGCGCGGTGCATGGTAAGTGGAACGAAGAGCATAGCTGCTGCGAGCGCGACGACTTCTAGGCCGCGCATGCTGAGGCGTTTGAGGAATGTTGTTTCGGCCTTGCGGACGTGCCAATGCGAAAGTAGAGATAGGAACTCATTTGTGCGCGGGTGTGTGGTCGACATTGTTAAGAGCATGGCGATGGGTTTGGTCGTGTCGTTTGGTGAAAGCCTGGCGGGCGCGGTGATGAGGTTTAAAGATAAGAATAAGTTTGGGTGGCGGCAGCAATGGCGATATGATGCTGCAGATTCCTAGCCACGAGCAAGTTTTGTGAGAAGCTTCGATATGGTGGATCGACGGTGTCCTGCGGGATTCGCGTCGTTGTCGTCGTGGTTGCTGTCTTTGTCCGGGGCTTCCCTTCCAAGGTTCCTCTTCGTTTGTAGGTGTCTCTTGACGCAGCGCTGTGTCGCAATGGAAGTAACGACTCCTACTTCTTTCCCTTCACGCCTTTGAGATCCCTTCAATCGCTACTTCAATGTCGATTCCAATCGCCTCCGCCCCTTTCCGTCGCGTCCTTTGCCCGAGTATGACGACTTTCCCACGCTCTTGGCTTTGCGATCCGCACACCTGGCGCAACAAGAATCACAACGATGCGCAACCCGTGCTTGACTCAATTGGAACTTCCTGCCCAGTCTGTCTGTCGTCGCCAGCAAAGTTCTCCTGCGTTAAACCACACGTCGCGAAAACCACGTTGCGCGATCAACCTCGGCACTTCGCGTCGTATCCTCGTAAACCCGCTGAACGTAAAATCGGTGCCAAGCCCCTTTTTCGCACAGTCCCTTACCGCTCTTCCTTACTGCAAATCTTATGCCGTGCCGTCCGCAGCACAGATTCTCGCACTTGCAAGCGCTCGTACAACAATAACGGTTCCGCGTACAGACGTCGTGTAACAGGGGAAGAAGGAATAGAGTTGGATGATGATGCTTACAATCACGTAGCCGTCCTCGGGAGTCTTACCAAGTCTACGCCTTGTGATCCGCACTGCGCCGCAGCCAGCAGCAAGTAGGCTGCCTTGCTGAGGGGCGAGGTAAGCGTTAAGGGTTGCCCCGCATCTGCAGCCTTGCGTCGCTAGCTTTTTAGCCTCGTGTTGTGATTGGTGCCCGGGCAGAAAGCGTGCCTGTGGCTGGTTGAGAGTAGGAGATGTGGAGATTGGAGTTACGATGCGAGAGGAAGGTGAGTACCTAATGGAATGAGATGATTCGTGTGGTGCGATGGACAATTTGAGTAATTGAGCTGGTATGATGTGATAGCCATTCCAGAACTATTGCTTCTGCCCAATGCAGAAGTGTGCTGGCTTTATGAGGTACATGACGGCGAGGAAATAAAGGTAATAAGATGTATAAAAGTAATGGCTGACTACGATCTACGCTTTCTACGCGCAAAATAATCAAGCAGCTAGAATGCAAAACCGGAGTACAGAACACCGACAAAATGCACGCTAAACTATCAATTCATCCACCACATATGCGCGACGTATGCCATGTCAGTAGAGATGATCAAGCGCCAGGCCCATGATTCTCAAAGCTAACAGCCCTTGCACGCATCGGTTGCTGCAATCCAGCATCACCATATCCCCTTCCCTCATAATCGTTTTCAGTCATAACGCCCAAGCTCTTCCAAGTAGCCTTCTCTCGCAGGTCACCATTCTGGTGATTGCTACCGTACAAGCTCGGTGTACTGGCTCGCTGAACCGTGATACCAATGCCTAGCCCTTGGTTCCTGGGTAAAGCACTGGTAGGCGTGTTTTCGTACGAGAAGTCAGCCGTGTTGGCTCTGCCGCGGCCATGCCCTGCGTGGTTGCCTTCGTCTTGGAGTGTGGCTTCACTGTCAACCGCTGGGCCAGGACTGTGACTTAGCATTCTAGCCTTGCCGTTTGATGGACCTGTGACAAAGTCGCGGGGCTGAGGCGGCGAGTCTGCGAATGGTGTGTACGCGGTTTGAACTCTGTTCAAAGGAGGTGTTGGTGTGTGGCTTCGGCTGCGAGGCGCGCCTTTGGGTGTGCCGCCAGGGCTTGGTGCGCGGCTGGGGTGTTTCGATATGAGACCGCCAGTTTCGTTGTCGTCGCTGTCGTTGTTCAGGGTCCTGTTACCCCATGAGATATCGCGGTTGTGCGAGTGACGTGGATGGCGGCTGGTGTATTGTGCGACAACAAGTAGGATGTTGTCAAAAAACAGTACTGGCAAAGAAGTCAGCATATGGTCTCAGTCTCTCGATAACAAATATGGAGGACATTTACCTGCAGCAAAGAACAGCACCACTATGGGAATCATCCAATGACTCCCCTTGAAATTGAAACCACTGGTGGTCTTGTCCGCAATGACGACAGAGATTCCCAGGATGATAAGCGTAAAGCCGACAACAACTCTGTTGATGATCTCGCCGAACTCATACTTCGTCTTGTGGATCTTGTTGAACCAGTACATGATCGCCAGCACCAACAGCAGACAGCCTGCGCCGATGAAGAACTGCATGGTAGTGGTGTTGAAGACATCGGAAACAGCATCTAGCTTGTTCCGCGGACTAGCTGTAGTCGCGGCAACGGCGTTGAGCTTCGCAAGAGAGTCATAATGTGCCTCGTACACGAAGACTTGCGCCCTGTCGAACATGTGACGGACAACGTCGCCGGTTCGATTGTTCCATTCGTTTGATTTGAAGCCGTACGTTGCAGTGTAATTCTCGATCGCAGTGAAGTTCGTGTTCCAGTTGTATGTAGTGTTCCAGGCTTTGCTCTTGAATCTCCCGTTGATAGCGTTCATGCTCTGATTGAGGTAGTCGATGTAGCTGTCGGTGTCCGAGTAGCCATTGGCTGGGTCGTAGTAGTTCTCGGGTTTGAACGACCAAATCCACTTAAGAGCTTGCACGGCTGAGTTCCACACGATGAGAGAGGTGTTGCCTTCGACGCAGAGGAGAATTGCTGAATGCAATGGATAGTGTAGTAGAGCCCATACTTGCTGACGCACGGTTCCGAAACGATCATGGGAAAGCTGATCGAAGTACAGCATCCAGAGAAGATACTAAAGGCCCAATTAGCGCTGTCTTTGAGTTGTTAGGTTCTTGTCTGCATACCAAGAGAAGAATGGCCGCGACGACAGTTCCAATCTCACTCATGTTGTTGCTCGTTTGGCTTTTGGTAATACATGCCACGCTCTTGACCATCCCGATGATACCCTCCCCAATGATGATGAGCGTAAGGAGTTGCAGTCGCTCCGCTAGATGGGTGTATTTGAAACTGATGATGCGCCAAATCATGGCGATGAGGAAGATTAGAAGACCTTCAATAATGGATATGATGACCCTATGCTTTCTGTTAGTTTGAGAACCTGACTCAATATGTACTACTCACCATGCAAGTTGTTCCTCAAGACCAACACGGCCCTTGGGAAACACAACCATGGTAACGGCATAGCATATCGCAGCAGCAGCATGTACACCTGCACTGAGCCCTAACGGAATCAATGTCTGGCGGAACATGCGACCTTGCCACATAACCACGGCGTATTGAACAGCGATTGCGATTCTGCCGATGACGAGCACGATAGCAAAATTCCGGTAGGATTTCTCGACACCGCTGGTGCTGTACTTGTCGAAAACGGGGCCGGCATACACAAAGCCTGTGAAGATGCCGAACTGTATGGCTTTGTGAAAACGGTTCCAGACGCAGTCGATGCTGAAGCGCACGTCGAAAAGTGTGACGCTTAGCCAGGTGAACCACATCAGTGTGAAGAGCTTGATGTAGTTGATGAGTGCTAGTAGTCTATTAGCTAGTGTATCCAAGATGTGAGAGCTGTACATACATTCTGCATCGGTATGCTGATGCATAGCTGTAAAGTACGCAAGATTGGCAACAAAGAAGAGATCGTAGAAGAGCTCGATCGTACTGGCTTCGGTGTGTTGTTTGTAAACGATGATATTTCCGCGGCTCGTCCTGCCATTTCCAGCAAATGTAGTCGTTTCGTTCGAACTGTCGAGTGTGCTTGTGTGGGTGTTGACCTTCTCCAAATCTGAAGAGTTACCCGACACCACTTCGAGGACATCTTCGTTGATGGGACTTGCAAGTAGGGGCAGATAAGTCCTGTCTTTTCCATGCGCTGCGTGAGTACTGTTGTGACTGCCAGTAGTCTTCCGCCGTAAACTGAAATAACGTGCAAGATCCATGATGAAACAAATGGAAGAAACTGATGATCGTGGGTGGTGGTATGACTGGATTGATGAGAGAGCTGAACAACAAGGCAGCTACAACACCTAAACATATATACAAGACGCCAGCTACGAGGATGTTGCTTCGTGACGGTGAAACATCTGGTCAGATCGCGTCGGTCCGTAATCGACGACGGGTAGTTGTAAGGCCATCGCTGTATGTGGTAAGCCTTCGCCCCGTAACATGCCCAATTTAAGAGTAGCACTGCTGTGGTAGAAAGCTTAAGTGAGCCATCTGTACCGAACGATCGTTTAGATCTGTGTATCTGGGGGGCCGTTAGGTCCTAGTATCACGCTTCTAGAAACAATACCAGTGGGGCGCAGGCAACGGAAACCGCGTTGTGTCAACGGAGAGGCTTGCATAAGAGCGAATGCATGCCGGGAGAGGTTGTGTGATCCGAAGAGTATTCTTGAAGCTTGCACTACGGAGGCGTCGTTAGCTGTTGGCAAGGAAGCGCCGTCTGCCGTGAGCCTTGCAGATCTGCTGCATGGTGGTTGTTGCACGATACACCTCTGTGTATCGGAGATCGGTAAAGCCAACCATGGCGTCGGTGTGAGCGGTGCAGGAGCATTGAGCCGTGCCGATCTGCCAGGATGACTGCCAATGTCGGACGTACCAGCATGCGCCGCCAAGCTTTCAAATAAGCTCAGGGTGCACAAATCTTCGGTTTCGCAAGATGCTGCGGACCAGGCTGAGAATTCGTTTATTCGCCGAACACTGTCCCTACTTCGAGCCTGCTGACGTTTGCCAAGACAGTGCACATGTCGCTGTAGCATGCCAAGCCCTTCAGCTGGCTGGTGAGGTCTCAATTTGGAAGACTATGCCAGCGCAAGTGCCGGAAAGAGCGAATGAGATGCGAACAGCGAACCACGCCCTTCCAGACTAGTACACGCACACGCGCCTACCGTTCCATGTGGTTACACAGATGAAAGTAAAGGTTGTAGAGGTTAACGGTGTTCGGTTCGGCGATTACTAGCAAGCCGCGTCCTAAAATGCCTGCACAGTTTCAGCACATTTGAATCATTAGATTTCTTCTCCCCAAAGATATGCATATCCGCAGCTCAGTGACCAAAAGAGGAGCTTTGCCACTGAATTGGCTATTTCGAGAAGATGATCGGCAGGTGTTCGTGATCGAATTGAAAACGTCGCGAAGCCCTTGCTGGAAAGATATGGCGTCCACGGTTGCTATCTTCGTGAAGGTTCAACATATTCACTGGCTCCTTCTTCAAAGTCCTCATCTGATGAGCTCTCATCGTCGTCTTCGTCTTCGTCTTGGGTGGCCTCGTAATCGTCGTCTAGCTCGTCATCGTCATCATCCGGAACGGGTGCACTTGGAGGTGGATGCCTGGACCGTAACACGCGACCGGTGCTGTTGGCTGCAGCATCAAGTCTGTTCACTTTGGCTCTCACTCTACCCTGCCTGCCTTCCCGTTCAAAGTTGAGGGGCCATTCCAGCTCGAGAGCCTGCTGCCGGGTGCCAGCATTATCCATAATCCAATTATACGGCTGCTTGAGTACGATCTCGGTACGAATGACGAAGGTTCCCCAGCCTCGAGCTTTGTACTCATAAGGTGGTTTTCGGATAATGACGTGGGATCGTCGGAATGTAGGATGCTGTTGTGTGTTAGCGCTGAACTAAAAGGAATGTGAGATAGGAATTTGAACCATACCAGATAAATATGCACCTCCTTAACCAAATCCGGCCTCGACGTGCGCACAAAGAACGTCCAGTCATGCTCGTTATCGTCACCAGCATTCCTAATAAGGCTATGCTTATTCCCTATGAGCATCATGACGCCCTCAAAGCCATCACGCCCAATGCGCGACCCTCTCTCCTCTTCCTCTTCCATGCGCCTTTCGGCATACACAATAGGATATTTCTGTTCCAACTGTCTTGCCAACGCGTTATCCGGAGTTGCGGCAGTACGCGTCCTGCACATGGGACAGTTGCACTCGAGGTCGTACGTTGGATCGTAGTTCGGATCGAAGTCTTCGAGGTTCACGTCCCAGCTGGTGGGTTCGATGCTGTGCGTGTTGGAGGCGTCGGACCACTGTGCCATGCAGGACGCGCATAGCAGGTGGTTGCACTGGGTTTTCACGGGCGTGAAGAGGAGGAGTTGGCAAATCTGGAGTTTGTTAGTAAGAATACGCGTATTCGCGGGTGGTACTTACGGGGCAGAGGTCATCGTGCGCGACTTCTTCCGGGTTCGATGGTGTTGCTGCCTCGGCCATGATGACGCGACGAGGAGAGGAATAAGAAGAGGAAGGTCAAGTGATTCCAGTAGGAGGGCAGACTTTAGCTGCCGTCCCTTGGTGCATTGGCGGCATGGCTCGCGTCGTGATGTTGTTATCGTCATTGGTTAAGGCGTCCTCCAGGCATCAGTCCGCGCCGCACGAATTAAGGCGGGGAGGCAGCTCACGTGATCACGCGACAAAGTTGACACAGCCGATTTCAACATAGACATCGATTTCGCGCAACAGACGACTGACTTCATTAAACGATTCTCGCCGCGATACCCTCGCCCTCCAATGAGATGTACTTTCCCAACATGAACCCCGCTCCCACCCTCCTATACCTCTTCTCGCCCCTCCCCGTCGTCCCCTGCGTCGCTGTGACGAGCAAGACGTAGTATCGCCTCAGCAGATTCGAGCTTCCGCCCTTCATCTTCGCGACAATGACACACTGAGTGACTTGGCCGTCGCTCGCGCTTGTCCTCTCAGCATCATACGTTATCTTGACCTCCTCTGGCAATCTCCCCGCTACTTTGAAGTCGCGGACCCGAGCTATGATGGCGATCTCGTCCTCTTGGGGACCTGTATCTGTTATGGAGTGTTTGTTGCTTCCACGAGTCCAAGGCGGGATTATCTCCGTGCGCTCCCAGTCTGCTTGGTCGAAAGGCGGATCGATATAGTCTATGCCACCTCGGTACGCCATCCAGGACCAACTTGGGACATTCACTTTGCGCGCTGGTGGGAACTCAATCGTGGGCATGTTCGGAAGATCCCCATTTTCTTCGCCGCGTTGCCACAAGAGACTCCGATGGAAGAGTCCGCCGTCTTCTTTGTCGCCATCGTCAAAGATGCCAAACGCTCCCTTTGTGTTGAAAGCACTTTGTAGGCGCTTCTCGAGACCCGCAATGGCAAAAGGACGGTCGGAGTAGCGGGTGAAGTCGAGACGAGAGTATTGCTTGTAAAGGCCTTGAAAGTAAGCAATCTTCCGTGCGCGGTTGGCCCGCATGGCCTTGTTTGGGAAGTTTGGGTCACCAAGGAAATCGGCCATATTGCTAGGCTGTGGGTCAGTGACGATCGAGCAAGCACTATGTCTTGTCATGACTTACTTATGCAGTTTAGCCAGGGTTTCGCATCGAACGCCTTGGCCGCACTCGAAGTATGTCTGGTTCTCGGTGAAGTAGATGGTCCGTCGTGCCAGCGCGCGCTCTTGCAACACCCAACCTCTCATGTTCAAAGACCCCTCGATAACATCTTTACTGAAGTTATCGATAGTCTTGCAGACGAAGAAGGGCTTTTCGTTGTCTCGCTGAATAGTGATATACTCACGCTGCGGCCTAGGATCAAGGAAGCCATCACGTTGATTGCTCGCTCGGCTTGCAGCAAGTACACAATACGCTCCACTAAAGACTGCCTCCATGTTCTTAGACTCATCGTTGAAGTCTCCGTGTTCACCTTGGATGATACAGAGCGAATCTACCCACAGATAGCGGATGCCAATCTTCCGGGTGCAGTTGACAGCGTCATGAAAGGTTGCTGGAAGATCGTCTTCGGGAATGGCCTGAAGATAATCCTCTAAATTCTCTGGTAGGGTACAAAACGGTGTGTACTTTGTGGTATCTCCCCAGGGGTGCGACAGTGCGATGTACTGTTTGCTCGGGATCTGCTCTCGCTTCGTCTCGACAAGGCGCAGCATAGGCGTACCGAGAGTACCCACGTCGAGGAGTCTTGTCGGCAGGCTATGGTATAGCCCCTCACATCCCGTGTGATTTGTATCGCAATCTTTGAGCCAAAGCTTTATGATGCTGAAGAACGCGTCTGATCCAGCTTCTGGGAGCTCTGGAAAGCCAATTTGGATTGGACACGGAAGGTCCGTTTCTGGACTTCTGATTAGAGAAAGAACAGGATACGAATCGCCCGTCAAAATGATGTTCGACTGGTCTCGCTGGAATACCGCCGGGTCTCCTTTGGGCTCTTCGGCTTGGTTGTGGATTTCGTACAGCATCCTGCACAAATCGCATTCCGGTGCACGGTCTTCCAACGTTGACACCCGCTCCTCAATGCTGAAACCACCTTGTAGGAAGTCACGCGCCGAGCATGCGGCGCAAATTCGATGAGCGATGTTTGGTTGCGGGATAAATTCCTGTCCATCGACAATTGCGACGACTTTGTGAGCGAATTCATTATCGACATTAAACTCCCAATCTTTGAGAGGTGGAAGGGTGTAATCAGCGCCAATAGGTTGGCCGAGAACTCCACTTTTGAGCGGCCCTGGAGGTGGTAGGCTGCTCAGTGGAAGATTAGCACTGTTCGGCGATAGCATTGGGGCCGTGAAGGTTGGCGTTCTGACGTTGGTGCGGTCTTTGCCAGTGAACATGTAAGTGGACATGTGTCGCTTCCTCAATATAACGTCAAGTTCGTCCCGAAACTGCGCAGCCGTAGCTCGATAGCTTGTAACAGATTGACCAAGTGCTGGAGGTTGAAGAAGTCGACCACTCAGGGTATCACTCTTCCTGTTAGGAGGAAGATTGACGACTAGTAACATCTCGCGTACAATCTTGAGCAAATCTTTGGTCGCTGATGTTCGCCCTGCTGAACACTCCGGATCTTTGTTCTGAATGTGCTCCATCCACTTCAAGACCACAGGGTGAACTCTAGCACTTTCCGGTTCGCTCGCGTCCAAGACTTCGTAGTACTGGCAGATCTGTTGTGCATTTCCCTCGATCTGTTTGTAGAAGTTGGTCAATTCGTCGTTGCCGTATAAGATCCAGATGATGAACTCAAAAGTGATGCATCCCATTGACCAGATGTCGTAGAGCCGGGAGCGTGCATTCTGACCAGTAACAGTTTCAGGCGCTTCGTACCGTCGGGTACCGTATCTGGTGCTTGTAGGCTTCGGTCTGTACTGCGTAGCCACTACATGCCGCTTAGCCAGGCCCATATCTGCGATCTTCAGGGTCCCCAGGCCAGACTTAGATCCATTGGTGAGAAATCTTAGGATATTCTCCGGCTTCAAATCACCATGCCTGATGGACTCTGCGTTGTCCGCATTCTTGTATTCATCCACCCCGTTGTCAAGCCCGCTATCGCTACCGGCATCACTTCCGCCGCTCAGATACGATTCCGCAGCGTTTGGGTCGTTCACTCGTATCGTCAAGCCATCGGCTCCGCTATGCTGTTCTGGTCGCCCGCTGTTGAAATTATGTAGTTGGTCCAATGCATCGACAATACCTCTAAGTTGAACGATGGTGTGTTCGATGATACAAGCATCTGGGGCCTCTCGTGGCGTGTGGTCCCAAAAGTCACGCAAGCTGTCCCCGTCGGCCCAGGGAAACATGAAGTAGCGGCTGTGACCTCTTCGAATAGCTGCTATACACTTCACGATATGGGTATGGTTGAGCTTCCTGATGGCTTCGAGAGCGGTAGCTTCGAAATTCCAGGCCCGGTCGGTTCCAGCAGCGTCCTTTTCTCCTTGTGGTACTTTAAGCTCCTTCAGCGCCACCTGTTTAAGAGTTCAGCGATAAGGATCTAATATATGCTACTGCTAACGTACCTGCTGTATCTCTGGATATTCATGATGGTCCTTGTGTATCGTGACCCGATATACCGAACTGAAAGCGCCGTCCTTTGGTTGTGCCCCGTCTGAGATGAATGGAAATATGCATTGCGCTTTCAGATCATAGCCATACTTCTGCTGTATGAATACTGGAGCTAAACATTTCCACTGGTTTACTCGAAAGTTGACGATTTTGAGTCGATTCCAGATCTGTGGAACAAATAAATGTTGACTTGGTGGCTTGTCATCAATTGGTAGCTTCTCATCAGTGAACCCCCCTTTTTGGAAAATGGCCATGGCTAGTAGCAGATGAGATGGCTCAAAGTCGCATTGTATAGTGATCGCAAATACCTTGGGAGCCTTGATACGAATCCATGTCGCAAGCTGAGATCGACGTTCACGATTCCACTTGGCGGTCTGATCTCTTGGAGACCTCTCAATCTTATCCAGCTCCTGCTCGACAGCTCTCTGGACGATGAGCTCCTTGATTGCATTTTCGGGGAGATAATCGCGGTTTGGATCGTGAAAAGTTGCTGTTGCGAAATGACTGAGTATAGCCTCGGCTAGATCGGAGCCTGAGGTGTTGGGCTGGGTGAGACCTTGTAGTTCGTCGTCGCTCAATCCGGGCGCTAGAGCGAGTGCTTCGGTGTGTTCCTCCTTGTTGTTGGCTAGGCTTTCGGGTCGGTTCGGCTGGATCGCACGCGCTTTGTTGCCCCACACCAGATACCAGATGACGAATAAGAACGCGTAGAACAGGACCGTATCGGCAAACATAGCTGTGGTTGGATTCACGTATGTCCCTTCAGGTTTGACACGAACATGCGCAAACAAGTTACGCTGTATTTCGAGAGGTTGATGTTCGGGACGAGGACTGGCTGTCCCTACGGATCGGCAAAGCCAGGTTTCGCGGACACATGTAACACCTTATGACATGCGGTTCATCTGCAGAGCCGCCTGCGAGCTGAAGTCCGATCTGTGATGGATGTGCGCCACATTGTTAAGATGATCAAATCAGAGCAGAAGCCCCGGGATGTTAATGCCGTGAGTGACGCTCAGCCTTGTGAACGCAGCTCAGCTCAGCTGCGAAAGACGGGATAATGACCCAAAGCGTTCAGATGTACGCAGTAAATATTGGACCCCGCAGGCGAGGTGCAGATGGACCCCACCTGTTCCCTGAAGCGCATGAACGCCTGCGTGGGATACAGCAAAAAAGCAATTCCGCACACCGCTCGTAATTACAAACACAGTGATCAGCGGGCTCGTCGTTGTCGCGTAGCCTCGCGACATGAACCGCGCATACCTGGGTGTTCTCAGTCAGAGTCAGGCTGATGCGCAGCTGGCGCAAGTAGCTATACCAGGCAGATGCAAAGCGCAAGTGCAAAATTAGTTTACAACATGACCTGATCTGGCGCTTCATACAACGAGCATACTCTGCAAACACTCATGTTCATGTGTTCTTTGCCTGTATGGTGATCAAGTAGCTTTGGCAAGGAAATAAAAGGAATGCGAACACATCCATGTCACTCCCGAGCCACCAAAGCTCGTCTTGAAAGTAAGAAAACTTCCGAACACGGCAATCGAGGTTATGCGAGGATAGGCGACCTGAGTTTGGGTATGCGACTCAACCGTCTTCTTCTCGGTGCGACAGATTGGACTGCTGGAGCTTCTGATCTCGGACTTGGCAGATCATCCTGAATAGCCTGCTCCGGATTGTACATAATGTATCGCTCGACTGCCGAATCGGTCGATCTCATGTTGCACCAAGGGTTGCTCGTCGTCGCATACTCTTCGTTACGGCGACACCTGGCGTACATATCGTCTAATGTTCGCCAGACGTTTATGCAAGGTTTGCGCTCCCATGAGTCTACTAACAACATGTCGAACTGAATCAAGTTCAGTACATCGTGCACGTAAGCCGTACAATCCGAGTGACGATGTAGCTCTTGGATAAACTAATGTAGTTGGTCAGCTGGGCGCTGTGACATCAAAAGGTGCAACATACGGCGGTGACCCTTGAGTTGACCTTGGCCCGTATCCCAGCAGCTTCAGGGTCTTTCTCCACTTCGTAGAATGTATCAACAGTTGTGAATCGATGGAAGTAGTCAGTCATCGTCCTTAGCTTCTTGAATCTTCTCACAAGCTCACGACCCCCTAGTAACCAAGCCACAAACTCAAGGTAAACGCAACCCAAACACCAAATATCGTAAGTTTGTCGCATATCCGCATTGGGCAAATCGCATTCGGGGGGTCGGTAAGTCATCGTATTAGGGGTTTCTCGGCGATTGGTCTTGCTCTCCAGTGAGTGGATCTCAGCTTGTCCGAAGTCGGTGATCTTGAGTGTTCCCTGCAACGTGAGACCATCGTGTTCGTTATCGCCATCGTCGTACCAAAGGATGTTGTTTGGATTGATGTCTCCATGGCGGCCGTATACTTTCTTTTGCGTGCTAGCATGATCGTAGAGTTGATGGCTACGCGACGGCAGACCCTGATCGCCAAAGTCGTTGGGGCATCCGAATGGGCTCGTCGGACGCTCTTGCACACCGTTTGAAAGTATCGACGAGCCTGTGTCGACCCGCTCGCTCAATGGTGCAAATCTCACGATTTTTTCCACTCGAGTAGAGTTGTTCCCGGTAGTGTCTGTGATACATTAGCTGTATGTAGAGCAGTGTCCAGCGAAATTTCGCCCCAAAAATAGAGACGACGCAATTTCTTCGGTTCTCTCGCTTTGATTGAGATCACATACCATGTGTGTCTTCCAATTGCTCCTCCTCGTTCTTATGCTGAGGCTTGGTGAACGACAGGAGCTTGTGAAGTTTCGACAGGCCCTCGGCAAGCCCGCTGCATTGCTTTGCAAACCAGTTGACATTGCTGTGGTGGAGAACCGGGTGTGGGTTGAGCTTCTTCCAATAGTCGAACAGATCACCTTCTGCACGGTAGAAGATCAGATTGAACCTGTTGAACTGCTCATATGTTGCAAGCAAGGACACAATGTGTGGGTGGCTTCGCCCGCCGCTGAATTTCATCAGTATGTCTATTTCTTTCTTATAAGCGTCACGATGCTCATCGTAGAGTTGCTGTTTGATGGCGAAACCGCGCTCACAGAGCCGCTTATCACTGAAATTGTGGTGATCGGAGGGTATGTTCACCATGATTACCCTTCCGTAACCACCGGTCTTGTCAATGGGCTGGGTCAGCGCATTCCCCGGGGTGAGAAAGGGGAGGATGTGTTGGTCTTGAAGTTTGTAGTTCTTTACTACACCGTCATCGTCGGGTGGTGAGAAGTATGTCGCAAGTAGCCACCATTGATAGCGTTGAAAATTTTCGAGTTTCAATGGTGACCACCCCTTGAAGCAGCCACGAGGAACACAAAACTGGCTGCCTTTGCGATACAGTTCTCCGGTTCGTTCATGTTTCACGAGGGGTAGATCCTGATCGGTGACACCCTCTCTCACGAAGTCCGCGACGGAAGAAACGGCTTCGATTAGAACCAAGAGTGCAAAGATCTTGCGGAACGTGGTGATCTTGGTCGTTCCCTTTTGCCCTTCATCCTCCGTTTCTGCGCACACTGTTTCTGCGTAGAATGTGACTTGATCGGGTGAAAGTTGCGCCGCAGTTCTTGTTAGTTCTCGCGTCACAGCCTCGACCGTTATCACATGACGCAGTTTGGCTTTAGAGACAAATGTGTCGGTCTGGCTCTCAATTTCCCGTGTATTCCGGCGTGCATCCAGGATCTCCTGTTGTAGTTCATACTTGTCGTCTAACGGTGATAACGAGGCCAATGACTGCGCTAGGTCCTCATCCAATGAGTCTTCCGGGCGCAGAAGAGTCCGATCTTCATGCAGTTGCTGTTGATCGCCAGCGTCTGAGATATTTGTTACGCTTAGTTTGGGTGATACCAGGAAATTCCGAAAGGCCGGAACACCTAGCGACGACGTATAGCCGCGCTCGGGATTCCATGACCCTTCCGAGAAGGAGCGAGAATGGCCGAGTGAGGTAAGCTAAAGGGGCTCCAGTCAGAAAGGCTCAGCTTTGGGTTCTCAAGACGAAGCATACCTCATCACTTTCCCATTGCGCATCTTCCGCTCCCGCTTCTGTGTCTTCGTCGAGCAAGGGAATCCCTACTGGATGAGGATCAACCCATGTCGTGGATGAGGATGGCGAGCCACGATATTGCGCAGTTAGCCATGCGTTCCTGTCTGTGTGCGAGTCGACGGCTTCCGAGTCACAATCCGATGATTGTGACTCACGAAAAGACTGGGGGCTGTCGTCGCCATGTACGCTACTGTCCGATGGCCTATGGAAAGAGTCACGACGTGGCGTGGTGTATGAGGCTATCGGGTGCTGATTTGGTCTAAGACCATCGTCGCTCAGGCAGTAACCACTTGGATCCTGTTGATTCGCTGGTGGTGGCGAGATAGGCCCAGGTCCAAGAACAGGAAGCCACGGACCAGGTACCAACACGTCAGACAGCGACTGATTTGATATGGATACCCCTTCTCTTGCTTCATTCGGCGGTTGCGAGTTGTGGGTTTCGGTTTGAGCCGTACGTTGTTCTGTGCCCCGTAGGCTTAGAGGGGCGGGGCCTTTGACCGGACTCCGACGCGCCTCGTTTGGCGGGGCATCCGCCTTAGACACGCGCAGAGCGAAGGGAGGCATCGTCCACAGCACAAAGACAACTGTCTGAGTTTGAAACAGCCCCTACGGCGTATCGCATTGTTATATGTGGATGCCTCATGAAGGACCTTGAGCCGCACAAGGCTGAGCGGTCAGTCCTGTGTGGTAACCGCCCGTCTTCGAGTCCAGTGCCTGCGGTGCCTGGGGTTGTCAGATGTGGCTGCTTCACGGCCACCATAATTTAGACGGATGCATTTGATTGGTTCCACAATGTCTCAGCCGGTGAGCTGTTTGGGGTGACATCCGGAAGTGCATGGCGCAGCACTGGCGAACCGACGTTCGCTGCCTAGGACGGCTCGTTAGAGTATGTGGGCACATGGACTGCACAGCCGCAGCTGAATTGAGGTAATCCACGCGCCCTTCAGCCTGCCAATAGCCTCAGAATGTCATAACATGTGCGTATATACGCAGGCGAAGTCCTCCTCTCTTGGAAGAAGATATAGACCACAACTTCCTTCAAGACTCTTTACTTACGACTGAACGGTGTGTCAAAAGCGACATCAATGTCATCATCAAAACAAGTCGCATACGTCAAGGTATCAACCCCTTCGATAAGAAGGTACGACGAAGACGATGATCTGTCGGACTTTGAAGATGCGCAATCGATATCGGGGAGTAACATCGACCCTGCGAAGTTGGCAGCACTTCTGAGGATCAAATTCGGGGCAGGAACCTATGATATACATGTGAGTAGGACTAATCTCGCAGTATTTGTGAACCTTTTGATCAAGAACTGACGACCATCGTAGATAATGCAGAACTCTTACTGTATCATCGCGCCGCGAAAACTTTCAACCGTAAGTCAAGAATCTGGCTAGCAACACTCCGGTATCTAACGCGCAACAGGGAGAGATAGCTAGATGCCAAAGAAGAAGATGAGGACGATGAGTGGCTGCCTAAGCGTCTCGTAGACGTGAGAGCCGCTCGCCGGTTCAGGTAAATGGGAGAGTAAAGCCCGGTAGGACGCACGGAACGTGCCATGATGACGGAAACGCGGGCACTTCGACAGAGAGGCGTGAGAACGCAGGATGACGCTCATGGCGATTCGTGCCTTGCAGCCTCGTGGCGACGAATGTTTGGGGGGAAGACATCATAGTTTGCCGGAAAGCGTATCAATAGATCCTTCCACTTTCGGACCTTGTGACCAAGCCGCTAGGACCATCATGGTGCCACCTTCCTGCCCATATGCATGACTCAATGGGTGAGCACGTGATCATGTTTCGGCCTGAGAAGAAAACACCCTTTGTCCATGGCTGCATCTGTCATGTTATGTATGCCTTTGAACCGGATCAACTATGAGATTCACGGCGGCATTTCGCATCGCGCCGGGATCTCCACATATTTCAACGGTCATCCACGTTGATGATGCGTGTATGTATAGCGATCAACGGCGCTACCTAAATATAATATTGGCTTTCCTTTCGTCTGAGCTGACACCAAACGGACACGAGAACAAGGCTGAGGCGCTGCATGCACCGCCCACTTTATACGGCCAGCTTCTCAAAGACCCCGGCCGAGAGTCATCCCCAGATCTGTCCGGCGCTTCGGGTATCGACTTTGCAACGGCGATGGATACAGCACACAACCCCAAGACCTTTAATTTTCCGTGCCGATCCTATCGAATGATGCGCAAACCAGGCGAAACTGTGATAGGTTTTAAAACTGGCGCCAGGTTGCAAGCGCCGATCTCCCGCGCCAGTGTCTCACATAGCAACGTCTGGCGCGTCGCCATTGGCCAGAGCTTGGATTACGCGGATGTGGCTATGCCGGTTTCACTGCGAAGCTTGATACATCACTCCCCTTTCCTGCTGCGCGCCACCAACACCCACTGCAACCGCACCGCCGACCTACTTTTGCCCAGCGTTCCTTCTCACCACCTGCGCTCCCCATACGTCGTTGGGCGATAGCGATAACCGATTCTCACGACCTCACTTTCGTTTTGCGCTTGGACCCTGGACGCGCAGCAGTTACGCCCCAACCTGGCCTCCTAACACGGCGACTCCTCCGCGGGAACCCGCCACCACATTTTAACCCTCCGCGATGTGGTTCCGCAAACGTGAAAGCGACATTGAAATGTCGGGCATGATGGACGGAGCACCAAAGAAAAAGAAGTCGCAAGGCCCGCCAGAAGAAACAGAGTACCAGAAGTTTGACTGGAAAAGATTCTTTCTCGCCCCTAAGTACATCCGTAAGACCACGCCGCCGCCCATGCGACCGCGGAACATTTTTGGCTGACTCAGCATATAGCATGGCACATATTGTTCATCGTTATCGGTATCTTGACCGTTATCATCACGATAAAACACGACGCCGTCGTTGAGGTGAGTCTTCGGTGTTTTGCCTTGGGGCCGACGAACACGTGGCTAACGGTGTCTGTGCAGAAATTACGGCCGTGGTCCGAGAAAGTGCGAGACCTACCAGCAGGATGGCTAATCCCCATTGCTATTCTTATCATTATTTCTTTCCCTCCTTTGTTCGGTCATGAGATCATTGCGCTGCTGTGTGGTGTCGTCTATGGACTGTGGATTGGGTTCGCCATTGTTGCGGCAGGCACATTCATTGGCGAAGGTAAGCCTTACCATATCATTACAGCTCCATGCAATACATACTAACATCCTAATCAGTCGGCACATGGTACGCTTTCAAATACGCCTTCCGCTCCAAGGCTCTCAAACTGGAGCGCACCAATCTAAACTACGGCGCCATGGCCCGTCTAACGCGTGACGGTGGTTTCACCATCGTGCTCGTCATCCGTCTGTCCGCCATTCCAGCGCATTTTTCCACCGCCGTATTTTCAACCTGCGACGTCAAGTTCTGGCATTTCGTCGTCGCTACTTTCCTTTCTCTGCCCAAGCAAATTTTCCTCGTCTACCTCGGTGTACTGCTCCTACAGGAGAGCAACGACGACGTAATCAAGACGGTCATGTTCGGCGCTATCTTTGTCATCACTATTGCCATGGGTATCTGGATCTACATGAAGATGCGCGTGGTGAAGAAGACACTCTTGGAGGAGCAAGAGCTCAGAAGGGTCAAGAAGGCCGAAGCCGTCGAGCTGGTACCAAATGTTGAACGTGCGTTCGATACGCAATACGACGAGGGGCCTCCGATCTGGTCATCTATGCAACCAACGCAAGTCAACCGACCAACGGAGAGGAGATATGACGAGGACCCTCCGGAGTGGGCCATGCAGCCTACGCAACCCACCAGAATGCTCTGAGCGTAATTGCTGATTGTATCATACATAGACTGTTATATTCTTAATGCCATAATGAAGTTATGACCCGCATGGGTTTAGTATGCACAAGACACTCAAGGTCAGATCTGACAGTCACTTTGGACTGCTAACCCCACTCCTAGGTGGTATATCGAAACCACGGCACGTTATCGGCAAGCTCCCGCTCCAACGACTTCTGCTCCTCGGTCAACTCCTGCGCCCCGGCTTCCAACGCAATCTTATCGCGTCTCGCGTTCTCCATTCGACACCACGTCGACATGAAAAACGTCAGGAAGAACGCCATGCTACCACACGTTAGCTCCGCATCACCGACATCATGCGATCTTACGATAACTCACCTAACGAATCCGATCAAGATGCTATGCCCAACAACAAACCTAGGCCCATCACGCGACAAATAGACATAACTCGCAATGATACCTCCGCAGTTACCGCCCATGACCTGCATAGCAATGCCCGTCCCCCTCTTCAAACTCCCCCCAATATTCCCACTATTCCACGCCATCCCCAGCGGAATCTGCGGATAAATACCAATTGCCGCCAGCACCGTACCCGCATACTGTATACTGGGCCTCCCCGTCGCAGCAAGCATAGCAAAGCCCGCAATAGCCACGACCTGGAAGCCCATCAAGAAAACACCACGTTTCTTCACGCGATCAGCATACCAGCTCGCAGCGATGGTGAAGAAGCACGCGCAGACGTATGGCGGGACGGACATGAGTTGCGCGTCGTTGGCAGTGTAGCCCATGTTCTTGATGATCGTCGGGAGGAACAGGGCGAAAGAGTAGATGGGACAGAAGCCCGCCATGCAGATTAGCATGAACATGTATATCTTCCAGTCTGTGAGGGCTTGGTAGACGTATTTCATATCGAAGTCGTTGGAAAGGTGGCCATGGTCTGCGTGGAGGCGGCGTTGGACTTCTGTGCGTTCTTTGGGGGTGAGGAAGCGGGCGCTGCGTGGGTGTTAGATGAGGTGGTGGCGAGGAAAGGGGTGGGGACGGACGTTTCTGGGTAGTCGTATATACACCAGTATGCTATTGTTGAGACGAGGATGCTGAGGAGGCCTTCTAGGATGAAGATCCTTTAGTCGTGTTAGTGGGTAGACTCTTTGATCTTTTTGTAAGTGATGATGTTACCATGCCCACGCGGCTTTTCCACCAACGCCGGACATCTCGGCGATGCCGCGGGCTAGGACGCCGCCAAAGGCTCCGGCGAGCGTTGCAGCGGAGAAG